TAGAGACGGGGTTTCACCATGTTGGCCAGGATGGTCTTGAACTCCTGACCTCAAGTAATCTGCCCACCTAGGCCTCCCAAAGTGCTGGGATTACAAGCATGAGCAACCATGCCCAGCCAAAAGAGCTTTTAAAAGATAATTCTAATTGCTTATGTCAGTCAAGTCACTAATTTTTTTGGTTTTTAATTTTAGATACAAAAGTTTTGCAGTACTATTTCAATCTAGGATTACAGGTAAGTGCCATGTTAAAATTTCTTTGATAAGCCCTATTTTCAAAGTATAAACTGTTTTGATAATCAGACCCTTGAACTTCAAAAACCAAAAGCACTAAGGCGACTAAAAATTTTATTTCTGTCTGAGAGATCTCTCAAGATGATGTAGTTCAGTTGTCTGCTTTAGCCTCCCAGTTCTTTAGTTTCTCTTACAAAATACTCATTAAACTGAAGAGAGGGGTACTGGGCTGTAAGCAGCACAACCTCAGCATATATTAGATTAGCCATCATATTTAACATTACATACTAACTTTTCACTGTGGTGGTCTGTCTCAAAATAAATGAATTATCCTAAAATATTTTTATGACTATCTTTCCATTTTATGTGAAAATTAGACAGATTCAAAGATACTTAAGGCACTGTGTTTTGTTCTTTGAAACCAATGAGAACAAAGACACAATGTACCAGAATCTCTGAGACACAGCTAAAGCAGTGTTTAGAGAGAAATTTATAGCACTAAATACCCACATGAGAAACCGGGAAGTATCTAAAATCAACACCCTAACATCACAATTAAAAGAGCTAGAGAAGCAAAAGCAAACAAATTCAAAAGCTAGCAAAAGACAAGAAATAACTAAGATCAGAGCAGAACTGAAAGAGAGAGAGACACGAAAAACCCTTCAAAAAATCTGAATCTAGGAGCTTTTTTTTTTTTTTTTTTTTTTTTTTTAAAGATTAACAAAATAGATACACCATTAGCCAGGTGAATAAAGAAGAAAAGAGAGAAGATCAAATAGACATAATAAAAAATGATACCACAGAACACGAACTACTGTCAGAGAATACTATAAACACCTCTATGCAAATAAACTAGAAAATCTAGAAGAAATAGATAAATTCCTGGACACACACACGCTCCCAAGACTAAAGCAGGAAGAAGTCGAATCCCTGAGTAGACCAAAAACAAGTTCTGAAATTGAGGCAGTAATTAATAGCCTACCAACCAAAAAAAGTCCAGGACCAGATGGATTCACAGCCGAATTCTACCAGAGGTACAGAGAGGAGCTGGTACCATGCTTTCTGAAACTGTTCCAATCAATAGAAAGAGAGGGACTCCTTCCTAACTCATTTTATGAAGCCAACATCATCCTGATACGAAAACCTGGCAGAGACACAAAAAAAGAAAATTTCAGGTCAGTATCCCTGATGAACATTAATGTGAAAATCCTCAGTAAAATACTGGCAAACCGAATCCAGCAGCACATTAAAAAGCTTATCCACCACAATCAAGTGGATGCAAGGGTGGTTCAACATAAGCAAATCAATAAATGTAATCCATCACATAAACAGAACCAATGACAAAAACCACATGACTGTCTCAATAGATGCAGAAAAGGCCTTCTATAAAATTCAACACCCCTTCATGCTAAAAACTCACTATAAATTAGGTATTGATGGAACGTGTCTCAAAATAATAAAAACTATTTAGGACAATCCCACAGCCAATATCATACTAAATGGGCAAAAGCTGGAAGCATTCCCTTTGAAAAACCAGCACAAGACAAGGATGTCCTCTCTCACCATTCCTATTCAACATAGTATTGGAAGTTCTGGCCAGGGCAGTCAGGCAAGAGAAAGAAAGAAAGGGTATATGAATAGGAAAACAGGAAGTCACATTGTCTTTGTTTGCAGATGACATGATTGTATATTTTAAAAACCCCATTGTCTCATCCCAAAAACTCCTTAAGCTGATAAGCAACTTCAGCAAAGTCTGAACTTGTGTGCAACACAAAATCAGTGTGCAAAAAATCACAAGCATTTCTATATACCAGTAATAGCCAAATCATGAGTGAATTCGCATTCACAATTGCTACAAAGAGAATAAAATACCTAGGAATCCAACTAACAAGGGATGTGAAGGACATCTTCAAGGAGAACTACAAATCACTGTTCAACGAAATAAGAGAGGACACAAACAAAGGGAAAAACATTCCATGCTTATGGATAGGAAAAATCAGTATCATGAAAATGACCATACTGCCAAAAGTAATTTATAGATTCAATGCTATTCCCATTAAACTACCATTGACTTTCTTCAGTTAGAAAAAACTTCAAATTTCATACAAAACCAAAAACGAGTCCGTATAGCCAAGACAATCCTAAGCAAAAAAGAACAAAGCTGGAGGCATCATGCTATCTGACTTCAAACTATTTTACAAGGCCACGGTAACCAAAACAGCATAGTACTGGTACCAAAACAGGTATATAGACCAACAGAACAGAAGAGAGGCCTCAGAAATAATGCCACAGATCTACAACCATCTGATCTTTGGCAAACCTGACAAAAACAAGCAATGGGGAAAGGATTCCCTATTTAATAAATGGTGTTGGGAAAACTGGCTAACCATATGCAGAAAACTGAAACTGGACCCATTCCTTACACCTTATACAAAAATTAACTCAAGATGGATTAAAGACTTAGACATAAGACCTAAAACCATAAAAACCCTAGAAGACGACCTAGGCAATACCATTCAGGACATAGGCATGGGCAAAAACTTCATGACTAGAACACCAAAAGCAATGGCAACAAAAGCAAAACTAAAATTGACAAGTGGGATCTAATTAAACTAAAGAGCTTCTGCACAGCAAAAGAAACTGTCAGTGTGAACAGGCAACCTACAGAATGGGAGAAAGTTTTTGCCATCCATCTGACAAAGGACGAATATCCAGAATCTACAAGGAACTTAAACAAATTTACAAGAAATAATCAAAAAGTGGGCAAAGAATATGAACAGACGCTTTTCAAAAGACATTTATGTGACCAACAAACATGAAAAACTCATCATCACTGGTCATTAGAGAAATGCAAATCAAAACCATAATGAGATACCAGTTAGAATGGCAATCATTAAAAAGTCAGGAAACAACAGATGCTGGAGAGGATGCAGAGAAATAGGAACGCTTTTACACTGTTGGCTGGATTGTAAATTAGTTCAACCATTGTGGAAGACAGTGTGGCGATTCCTCAGGGATCTAGAATGAGAAATACAATCTGATCCAACCATCCCATTACTGGGTATATACCCAAAGGATTATAAATCATTCTATAAAGACCCATGCACACGTATGTTTATTGCAGTACTATTCACAATACCAAAGACTTGAACCAACTCACATGCCCATCAATGATAGGCTGCATAAAGAAAATGTGGCACACATACACTGTGGAATACTATGCAGCCATAAAAAAAGACTGAGTTCGTGTCCTTTGCAGGGACATGGATGAAGCTGGCAACCATTCTCCACAAACTAACACAGAAAAAGAAAACCAAACACCGCATGTTCTCACTCATAAGTGAGAGTTGAACAGTGAGAACCTATGGGCACAGGGAGGTGAACATCACACATCGGGGCCTGTTGGGGGATTGGGGGCAAGGGAAGGGAGAGCATTAGGACAAATACCTAATGTAGATAATGGATTGATGGGTGTAGCAAACCACCATGGCACATGTATACCCATGTAACAAACCTGCGTGTTCTGCACATGTATCCCAGAACTTATAATAAATTAAATATAAAAATAAAAATAAAGAGCTGCATTTTTAAAGCACTCATGTGTTCAAAGATGCTTGCTCAACACTGGTTTTTCACCACTCCCCTGAGTTGTAGAGGCAGGTGGGTACTGACAAATGTCTTCATCAATGAAAGGTGTCTCTGATTTGAGGTGAGAGCTCTTTTATTTTAGTCTTTCAGGGATCACTTTCCCTCTGAAATACACTTGACTTAAAATGTAACAACATGGCATATTTACTGAAAGGAATAATGCATCTTAAGATCTCTCAGATGATGATAAACTCTATGCTGTCCTGGATGAATGCTCAGATTAGTTCATATTCCCTGACACTGATTTCCCTAAAGCTTTAGACATGTCAGTGCCAAGAAAACTGTCTTCCCAAATAGTACATATCTATAAATTAAGAGTAATGGGGTGGGTTTTTGTTCTTTGAGACTATTTTTCCTAAATTCAGTTTCAAGAATTGATAAACCGCTTGCCCCTTCTGTTATGTTAGTTTATTATAGTCACATGTGGAAACTTTGTAATCTATTTCACTGAGGCATTTAAAAATATTTTCCTGCCTTTTACATCATGGAATACCAGGAGATGCTGAGTAGATATTTCAATATTTTTCTTATTAGAAATCATAGTGTCTATTGTAGTACGTTTTGAAACTATGGTATAAAGAGAACTAAAATCACCTCTATGATCACTGTATACTTTCATATATTTTCTTACAACTTTTGTATTTTACAAACTATGGATTATGCTGTATAATTTTTTAATCTTTTAACAATACAGGCATTTTTTCTTTAAATAGTTTACAGCATGATTTTCGTTGCCTGTATAGTATTTCATTACGGGTATATAATTTATCCAGTTCCCTGTTGTTAAATACTATGTGCGATGTTTTTTGCTTTTAAAAATACTATAAAAGACACCTTTGTATACAGGTCTTCTAGACGATTCCCTGAAAGAATTTTTAGGTTTAAATATGAGATGCAAATTCCGCAAAAGATCCTGAAGTTCTTATAGAGAACAGACTAAAGTGTCAAGTTTTTAGGTCAAAAAAGTCATTGCTACCTCACCTGAAAATCATGTCCCAATTCTTACTTTTTTTTTTTTTTTGGTCTCTGGGGAACTGTATTACATTAAGAATAGAGAAAAGTAAAGTTTCTTGTTTTTTTGCTGCCCTTTCTTGCTCAAGTGCTATTACCACAACTACTGGCACTCCATGGTCTATGTGCCACAGATGCAGCAGCAGCTTCATGTAGAGAATTATCCAGTCTATACTGAGCCACCTCTGGTAGATCCAACCATTCCTCAATTTTACAGTGAGGTGAGGAGAGAAGATGGCACACAGGCGGAAGCATCAGCAAATGGTGAGTATGTAATGAGATTGCCAGCAAGAAAGACAGTTGGATTTTATTGTGTATAATTCAGTAATAACTTTCATATGTTTCATGAGGTCCATATACTACACCAGTGATTCTCAAAGCATGATATGTGGACCTCTTGTGGTCCCTAAGACTCTTTCAAGGGAGTCATGAGGTCAGAAGTGTTCATAATACTACTAAGATTTTATTTGCCCCTTTCACTGGCTTGTATTTTCATTGAGGGTATAGAAACCAGTGATGGGTAAAACTGCTGGCACCTAAGCACAAATTGGTAGTGGCCCCAGACTCTGCTAGTAATCAGTGTTTATCTCACTGCCATACACCCATGGTACAAAAATGCCAATCTTATTTTTTTTGTTTAATCAAAGACATTTTCACTAGATTTTTATCTTTGAATAGTTGTATTTTTCTTTGTGACAAAAATGGAACTACTTTTAAAACACTTCTGCATACTAAATGAAGTATAATGATTAACTTAAGGAAAAAGACTTGTGCTATTAAGTTATGAGTTGTACTTGCTGACTTGAAAGAGGGATAAATTATCATTATTCACACTTAGTTGATCTGGTCGGCATTTTCTTAAATGAACAAAGTGAGCCTGTCACTTTAGGATAAATAACTAGTAATATTTGTTTTCAAAGATACAATTTTAGCTTTCAAATAAAAATTAGAATTTAGGAAAACATTTATTTTCCACCACGAGCTTGACACCTTCCCACCAACTGAAACTCCTGTAATAAGTAGAGCTGAATGTAGTTTCTTAAATTGTATGAGGAAATGTGTCAACATTTGGAAGATCTGCATAACTCAGTGAAGGAGGAGTTTTACCTTTGAGGAACTACCACTTACGTAGTTTGGGTGTAGCATCAAAGAATATCTACAATTACCTGAAAGGCTAGGTATTAAAATACTGATGGTTCACGCCTGTAATCCCAGCACTTTGGGAGGCTGCGGCAGGTGGATCACCTGAGTTCAGGAGTTCGTACCTGACTTGCCCGGGTTGTTACAGAACTAATTGGGACCTTATGTATAAGTATGCTATTACCTGGTGCATATTAGGAATACTACTTTCTCTCTTCCTTTCCTTTTTTAAAGCATATTACATTGTCAGTCTTTTTTTTTTAAAATTTTGTGCAATATACCTTCTATAGAGCTATTTTTAATTGTAATTAACTATGAGGCAGTGGCAGTCTTAATTTCACAGAGTTAATCTAAGCCCAAGTAATGAATTTTTTTTTTTTGTCTAATGTGTATGCTCATTATAGCAAGATCAAAACAGCATTTATTTCCACTGGAACTGACTCGTGGCAAAAGTGCTATGAAATTAAAATTTGATCTTAATGACATTCAAGAGATGACACTTTTAGGGTGCTCTTCAGAATTATACTTTCAGGTATAGACCAGACTGTCCAGACACCTGAGTTTTTCATTGCTAAATGGTTATTCGGATGATGTCTCTTGTAAAACTATTGGATAACTCAATTGTGACCACCTCTTATAAGAATTTAACTAGAAGGACTCTAGAGAATATTTATGTATTTAGCTGGTTGATACCTAAATCATCCCAGAAAGATAGCTGTCTGTACGTTGAATAGATTTGACACATGTATTTCACAGTTTTTTAATTTGGAAATTTTCATATTTAGTCATTATTTGTATTTAAAGTACTCCTGCTGCAATTGCTGTGATCTTTCTTATAGTCAATAAATTTTATTTTCACACATAAGAACATCCACTTATGTTGCATGGGGTTCTGTTTTGGTGAATTTTTGTATGTAAAGTAGACTGTATACATTCTTTCTTTCAGATACTTTTCCGAATGCTGATCCTTCATCTGTCCCTCATGGAGCAGTCTATTATCCAGTAATGTCAGATCCCTATGGGCAGCCACCTTTGCCAGGTTTTGACTCCTGCCTCCCAGTTGTGCCAGATTATTCCTGTGTTCCCCCCTGGCATCCAGTTGGTACAGCATATGGTGGTTCTTCTCAAATTCATGGTGCTATAAATCCTGGGCCAATTGGCTATCTTGCTCCATCTCCCCCAGCTTCTCACTATGTACCTCAGGGTATGTAAGATCCAGCAGTATGAAGTATTCTTGCACTGCCATTTTTCTTGCTGTTTTTGTTTTTAGAAAGTTTTTTATGTTAGTGGTTAAATGATTTAGGTGATTAGTGTTTACTATTGTATTTGTCTTTAAAATTATTTTACCTTTTGATTTAAAATAGTACTTTAAAGGGATATTATTTTGGGCTGTGACTAAGGAAATTGAGATGGATGTACAACTAGCCCCATATTGAGCATACTTCATTGTATTCAGCTGTTTTCCTGTCAGCCATTTGTCAGCTTTATATTAGCTGATGGTACCAATTGATAAAATGAATATAAAGTATTTCATTGGTTCAGAGATCACACATCATATTAAACCATGCAGAATTGGAATAACTTGAACTTTTTTCTAGAAAGTAAAACCAAGAGCCTTTGCTTCTGGGTAACTCACTTAATATTAAATTAAAGAGCTCTTCAGGTTTCTTGAGAATTGTCTGAAGCCAGTTGCATTCTGTGATATCAGTTTTGAAGGCACATGGTTCTCTGCTTTAGATTTATCCCATACGCTATTGTTTAATACTGGATGTATGTAAGTGTTTTACTGCACTGTATTGAATTGGTGTCTTTTGCACAGTTAGCAGTAAATAAAAAATAGCATTTAAAATTGCCAAAACAAGTGGGATTTTTTCTTTTTGCGTTTTCATGTCAGCAAAGAGTACCGGACGTTTGATTGTTTCAACATGTTTTTTCTCTGGCATTTTGGTTGTCAAAGAATGTGAATTTTTAGCATGAACTGGTGGGGAGTAGTTGCAGAGCCACTTGAAATGTTATTTAATCTAGAGTCATTGCAGCACATACTACCATATCTACGCCTTTTCTCTGGAAAATGTTTCTTTTGTGTGTGTGCATGTTTTTTAAAGCATCTGTAACCCTCTTATAGAACTTTAGACTTCTCATTGTCCTATGCTTTCAATAGTTATAGGGGCCAAGGGAAAACTCCTTCACCCTCTAAAGGTTCACCGAAAGCTCACGAAAGGCAGGTAAAGAGGAGAAAGGGCATACAAATTTTAATGTGTACACGGGAACCTTCAGAATGAAGACCCAAAAATACAGGGGAAATTGTCCATTTTTATGCTTAGGTTCAATGAAGTATGGACAGCCATGTGGAAATATAATTGGACAAAAAGGGTATGATCTGCTAATGGACTTGAGTAGGGGAAACCCAACAAGGCTTATTCGTGTTCTTGGCCTCTCTGAGCACACATTCCTTCCTTCTGGGTATGGGACAGGATCCTCTCTGGAATAGGGGGTCTTATGACAGTCAAACCAGGTGGATCAGATAAATGTTTTATGGCCAGTTTTTACACAGAAAGGTGTAGTAATATTTTTAGGTTTTAGAAAAGTTCGAGTAATATTTTTAGGTTTTGTGGCTGGCTTTCAGGAAAAAGGGGTTCTGGTTTCTATGACCCACCTTGGGGAAGAGGGACTCTAGTTTCTATGGCTAGCTTTGAGGAAGAAGGAGACTGAGAGACAGGAGGGCAGGAGAAGGTCAGAGAAAAACTTGCTACTGAGGCCTTCATTTGGGGTTATTGTTTTCTGAGTCCAGACATTATCACATCTTACCGTTTTTGTTTTTAGACTTAATCTTGTATCTCTGAAGGCCTGGCTTGTCTTTGGCTTGCTGTGAGATACATTTCATCATCCTTTTTTGCCTTCTCCCTTTCATCTATCTGAAGACCACAAGATGTCCTGTATTGATCAGTTCTTCTCTGAGGGGAAAATAATCCTGAATGCTTTGGTCTGTCTCACCTGACAAACAGCTATTTAAAAAGTGTTCTTTGGTTGCCACAAAACCTATTTATATCACTTTCTTAAAAGGTTATTTATGTTTGTGAATCAGTCTCTCCTTTCCCCCTGTGGCTACACCCTGGCCAAAAAGAACAATTTGAGACATCAGGGCTTGAAGTACTTGAACAGTTGAAGGTACTGGAGTGGAACATTGCAAAGAAGATGTATCTTCAATGTACTGTTCTCAAGATGATTGATATTGATGAGTTCTAAATAAGCCAGTGTGGTAAAGGGTTCTGCTTCATAATAGTACTGATTGGATTTGGTTTTGTATCCTTGATTTTAAGAAGGCCTTGCACTACAAGTTAGCATCTGACAACTTAAGGTGGATGGCAGTGCACTAATGTTTTATAACAACCAACTGTGTGTATTAGTGTTTTAACTTCTCTGCTAACCTCCTGGGTTCTCAATTTATGCAGCCTGCAAATTGTGTTTTGCATGAAGGTTTATTTTACTCAAGTTTATAACATGGAATAGCCCCTTCCCAACATGTTTTGAATGTGTGTGCAAACATTTCTGAAGTATACATATCACAGAAAGTGATTGTCCTCTGTCTTCAGCTGTCAGTGGTTCACTAGCTTCTAAGGGGTGTTTTAGAAGATTGTAGTCTTGAGAATACCGGTTTGGAATTTGGCGGGTTTTGAGACAAGCGCATCTGCCTTAGATTTCCAGTAGATTTGTTTTTATTTCAAACTTGTATATGCTGCCTTGGCTTGTGCTCTATTACCAATTAATGAAATTTAATCATGATTGCTATTAACGTAACCCGGAAGCAATGTGTGTACTAGATTGTGAACTATCAATTGAGGTCAGTGTTTATGGCCTGCTTAAATCATACAAGTTCTCTTTGTTTATGTATTACAATCAGTCTTCTCTAAGAAATAAGGAGTGAGTCCTGGCCTTCCTATTGTTGGGGTAGAGGTGAGGGTAACCTGTACTGCTGCAGAAGTCTGCAGTCTTTCTTGGAGGCAGCTGCCAGGTAAAAAGGAAGTGGTTTTTGTGATGAAAACCAAAACAAAACCCTAACACTTAATCACCATATAGGATAAACATAGTGGTAGACTTCTCCTTTTTACAGATTACCTCTTAAGTTGCTCTTGTTGCAAAAGGTATCCTGTCTTTTCTCTGCCTTTAACCAAATTTCATCCATTTAGAATTGTTTAGGGAAGGAAATATAAAGGCACTGTAGTTTGTTTGGAACCCTTTACTTACAGCCCCTTCTTGCCATGAATCTGGTTACGCTAAAGGTAAATAGCTGGATAATTTCTCATAGCCAGGAAAAATAATTAAATTCATTTGTATGCTGTATATATTCTCAAAACTGATTGTGGCTTTCTGCCTTGATTAAGAGCAGATGAAAACATTGAGTTGGTTTTACTGTTGAAATGTAAGACTTACGAATTTAAAACATCTTTCATTTCCTTAAAGCTTATAATCAAGGTGTAAGCTTTGGAGATTTAAAAGCTTTGGATTTAAAAGAATAAACAAATCATGGGATTTTTTTTTATGTGAACACCAGACATTCAGAACTTAAACAAATCTCCATAGATAATGAATGATATAGTCTATTGGGAAGGGTGGAGCATGAACTTAATCTAGACTTTTGTAAATCTGGGCCAAATTTAGTTCATTTCATATGAAACCTCTTTAAGGCCTTTTATATTTACGTTTATAATGAAGAATTCATATAATTTATATAAGAATTCAACAGAACTAATATGAGCATCCCTAATCTGAAAATCCGAAATGCTGCAAAATCTGAAACTTCTTGAGCACTGACTTCCTGCTCAAAGAAAATGCTCTTTGTGGCAATTTGGAATTTCAAATTAGGAATGCTCAACCAGTAAATATAAAGCAAATATTCTCAAACCTGAAAAAGTTTGAAATTCCAAACGCTTCTGGTCCCAAACATTTCGGATAAGGGATACTCTATGTAGCAAGAGACAACCTCTTGTTTCCCTCCATCCTACCTAGAATGTTAAGTTTCAGTAGGAGCAGCTTGATTTAGAACACTTGTCTTCTCTTCCACCTCAATGACCAAAGGCAGTTTTCCCTAAAATAGTTTTCATGGACATGGAGGGTGCCTGTGTGTGGGAGATGTAGCTTCAGGAAAGGATTGACCTGAGTTTAGGTAATGACCTGCTGTGTGACTAAAACTGCTTTAGAGTGATTATGGGAGGTGCTTCAAAATAATTTCAGGATGAGTATTATAGATGAAAGAACACTAACTTAATTATTCAATGACACTAGCTGTGTGTCATTGAATAATTATCATTGAAACTTGGGTTCATTATGCTCTTTTGTTTGAAATTTTTGATAATAAAAACTACCTTGGTAACCTGCCATCTGGAGAGGAGATGTTTGCTTATGAAGTTAGTATGAATTTGGGTTTTTTGAAATGTTATCTTGAATCCTGAAAAGAATTATAAGGTTGTAGAGAGGCTGTCACATAAAGTCCGCCCTTTAAAACATCTGGAGTTTTGGGGAAAGCTATGGGATGGAAAATGGGTTCTTGAAATTCTGTAATTAATATTTGCTAGCTACACATAAAACCAATTTTAATAAACACATGACATTTATTTGTAGTGGAAACTAATTGAGGTAAGTGAACCAATTCAGGTTTTATTGTTTCAGTAATTGTTTTCCCAATAATCACTACTTTTTATTTTTTTTGAGAAGGAGTTTCCCTCTTGTTGCCCAGGCAACAATGGTGCAATGGTGCGATCTCAGCTCACCACAACCTCCTCCCCTTCCCGGGTTCAAGTGATTCTCCTGCCTCAGCCTCCGGAGTAGCTGGGTTTACAGGCATGCGCCACCACACCCATCTAATGTTGTATTTTCAGTAGAGACAGGGTTTCTCCATGTTTGTCAGGCTGGTCTCGAACTCCTGACCTCAGATGATCCACCCACCTCAGCCTCCCAAAGTGCTGAGATTATAGGCGTGAGCCACCGCACCTGGCCGATCACCACCACTTTTGAGTTTACTTTTTTTCTTGTGGCCGCTGGTGAGGGGTGATCTTGGAAACAAGAAAATCTGACTATTGTTTAGTTTTTTTCCTGGTAGGTGTCTCTTGCCACTGAGTAGACCTTTTGTGAAGGGGGTGGGGTCATTACAAACAATATTGAGGTTAAACTGAATCAGTTCTTGTAAATTCAGACCAGTCAGTGGATAAAAAGGTTAAAATCTATTCTAGCCAAACATTATTGGTTCATAGTATTGATTTATTAGTGTTATATGGATGGTCAGTCCCCTCACCCTAATTAGCAAATCTTTCTTGCAGAACTTTTGACTCTTTCCAGACTATATAATACAGGTTTTTCCAAATTGTTTGCAGAATTGCTGAAAAAATTCTACCCTAATACTAGACTTAAACTAATGTTTTATTTCCTTTCTCTGGTATATTGGCTACCTCAAAGTGAAAATTTTTACCTTCATAAAAAGCTATAGTTGTTTTGTTTGTTTTAGCAGTTGAAGTTTGTTTCGATTTTCTTTAATTCCTTTTAGCTCTGCTAAAATAGCTTCAGCTACCCAAGAAGTTTTTCCTTTCCTGGTTGTTTTGAAACATGGCATAGGATTTTGTTAATTTAGTTCTTTTTCTTTACTCACTGCTTATTTTTTCTCCAACATTTTATTATAAAAATATTTTAAACACAGAGAAGTTGAAGGAATTGTTCAGTTAACATCTGTATATTTACTACCTAAGTTCTATACTTAACATTTTCCTGTACTTGCTTTTTCACATATCCATCTATAAGTCCTTATTTTTGATGCATTTCAAGGCAAATTGCAAACTTAAGTACAGATTACCTGTTGTAAACACTTCA